AGAATACTGAAATGGAAGATAGGGCACCACCAAAAATAGCCAACTGTACAATTTTGTCAACAGTTTGCTCTGTTTGGCTTTCCTGATCTATCCAGGCTTACTTCCCATTATTTAAAAAATTAATGCAATAGCAAAAGATGCTGCAGTGATTAGGAAAAGCAATATAATAAGATGTTTGGAGGCTGGAAGGAGAACAAGATGACCAGGAACTAATCCTGACAGTAGATAAGAAAAGCAAACACAGAAGAAAATAGAATTACTGTATAAAGTAGGACTTACAGTCACACACATTTTGGTAGACCATCAGAACCTCCTCTACCAGGTAAGTAAATATGAAAGCACAGCTGTGTTATCAGGGGCAATGGTCCCCACTGTGAAAATTCCTTTTATAACAGCAGCATGTTCAGTACATCTGTGCTGTGATAGGACACACAGTCCTCTCTTGCAGCAATGCCTCATGGTATTCCCTACAGGGAATTACTTACATTTATAATGATGACTCAGAGTCAACAAGAAGTTAGAGCTGAATTTTATATACTGTGCTTAAGAAAGCACAAGGAAATGTGTACTACGCTTTTTATTAAAAATTTTTTTAAGTTTATTTTTTTAGTAATCTCTACACCCAAAATGGGCCTCAAACTCATGACCATGAGATCAAAAGTCACATGCTCTACCGATTGAGCCCACCAGGCACCCTTGTACTACATTTTTAAAAGATCTTTGTCAAAAGGTGGTTAATGTAAAAGTCTCATGATTTAAATATCTCCGCAACTGAAATATCTAGTAAATCCATTCACAGTAAATGCAGTTCATTCCTTCATAAACCAAAGTAACTGGTATTACCATAAACATTTGGCCACTTTATCTCTTTATTGATGGTCCAGTTATTCTTCTCAGGTTACTGAAATAGTGTTTACCCATATATGGCAGAGATGCATTAGCCCCCATCTGTCCCGTCCTCTACTCCATTCTGCTTCCACTATCAGAGTCACGCTGTGATCCTTCTGGTCTCCACAGTACTGAGGCTTCTAACCTCTGCAGGCCCTTCGGCAATCTGCAACATAGTTCCCCTTTCATTTTCAGTTCCTTCTTTTTCCTTGCTGATACCCACATTTCTTGAGCTTGTATTGAGCTGTTTGGCTTATAATTTTCACAGCTAGTGACAGCCCAAATACATCCAGTGGGTATAACAATATTTGGGTCTTCTCACTTTCCTGTCAATACTTCCTTTTTTTTTCTTCTTTTTTTACTGTTAGAATTAGCTTCTTTTCTCTATCTTTCCTTAATTCTTTAAAAACAGGGGCGCCTGGGTGGCTCAGTCAGTTAAGCATCCTACTTTGGCTCAGGTCATGATCTCACAGTTCGTGGGTTTGAGCCCCGTGGTCAGGCTCTGTGCTGACAGCTCAGAGCCTGGAGCCTGCTTCAGATTGTGTCTCTCTCTCACTCTGCTCCTTCCCTGCTCACACACTCCCTCTCTCAAAAATAAACATAAAAAAAATAAAAATTAAAAAATAAAAACAAGCAACTATACCTCTGGAAGTTTGGCATTGCTAGAAAGCTGAACTCTATATAACAAGAGGTGCTAGGTATCTACTCAATTTGCACAGGGGGAGAACAGAGTACTTGCTCAGTTGAGGCTTGTTGATTTTAATTCAATGTAAATCTGAACTCTTGTGATTAAATGAGTCAGTATAAACTGTTCTTATTTTCTTATATTAATATTACTGTTGTTATGATCATTCACCTGGAAGATAGTCAAATTCCTGTTTTTAGAATGGCTAATGTGCAGAAGAATAAGATTAAACCATAAATTAGTAAATATGGTAATTTTTAAAAATAGTAATATAAATTTCAGGGCACCGAAGTGGCTCAGTCGGTTAAGTGTCTGACTCTCAATTTCAGTTCAGGTCAGGATCTCACAGTTCATGGCACTGAGCCCTGCCTCAGGCTCCACGTTGATAGCACAGAGCCTGCTTAGGATTCTCTCTCTCCCTCTCTGCCCCTCCACCGATCATGCTCTCTCCCTCTCTCTCAAAATAAATAAAAATAAACTTTAAAAAAATAGTAAGATAAACTTCAACACATAAGCCTATTGACTGACCATTGGGAAGTTTTCTCTTTAGTTACACAAAATCAGGGATAGAAGAGGATCTGCTTCCAGATTTTGTATCAAACCAATAGTAATCCTAGTGGAGAGATTGACTGCTTTCTTCAAGAACTCTTGACCACTCATTCCTCCCCTAACTTCCACACATGCTCTCACAGTATTTATCCTAACACTGACTGCACAGCGTTATAGGCTAGAGATTTCTTTGTCTCTTCTTACTAGATTGTAAGCTCCTTGAAGGCAAAGACTTATCCTCAGCTGTGTATCCAACACATTTCAGACATACAAAAAATACAGCTTGAACAAGTTTAGTGGGACTACTCTTTTTATTTCTTTTTTTCCTTAAAAGTTTTTTTTAAATGTTTATCTTTTTTTGAGAGAGAGAGAGAGAGAGAGAGAGAAAGAGAGCATGCAAGCGAGGGAGAGGCAGAGAGAGAGGGTCACATAACCTGAAGCAGGCTCCAGGCTCCAAGCTGTCAGCACAGAGCCCGATGCGGGGCTTGGACCCACAAACTGCGAGATCATGACCTAAGTTGAAGTTGGACACTTAACTGACTGAGCCACCCAAGCGCCCCGAAATTATTCTCTAAAAAAAAAATTTTTTTAATATTTATTTTTGAGACAGAGAGGCAGAGTGTGAGTGGAGGAGGGGCAGAAAGGGAGGGAGACACAGAATCTGAAACAGGCTCCAGGCTCTGAACTGTCAGCATAGAGTCCAACGTGGGACTCAAACTCACAAACAATGAGATCATGATCTCAGCTGAAGCTGGACACCCAACTGACTGAGCCACCCAGGCGCCCCCAGAATTACTCTTTTAATACACCTTACAGCTTTATCCTTTCATCAGCAGAAAGATTAGGTTTCTTTAAATAATACTTATTACTGGGGCGCCTGGGTGGCGCAGTCGGTTAAGCGTCCAACTTCAGCCAGGTCACGATCTCGCGGTCCGTGAGTTCGAGCCCCGCGTCAGGCTCTGGACTGATGGCTCAGAGCCTGGAGCCTGTTTCCGATTCTGTGTCTCCCTCTCTCTCTGCCCCTCCCCCGTTCATGCTCTGTCTCTCTCTGTCCCAAAAATAAATAAACGTTGAAAAAAAAAATTTAAAAATAAATAATACTTATTACATGCATATCTTTTTATTTTTTATTTAAAAAATATATTTTTTTAACGTTTATTTATTTTTGAGACAGAGAGAGACAGAGCATGAACGGGGCAGGGTCAGAGAGAGAGAGGGAGACACAGAATCTGAAACAGGCTCCAGGCTCTGAGCTGTCAGCACAGAGCCCGACGTGGGGCTTGAACTCCCGGACCGCGAGATCATGACCTGAGCCAAAGTCGGCCGCTTAACCGACTGAGCCACCCAGGCGCCCCTGCATATATTTTTTTAATGGAACAATTCTTAACATTTAAAATAATACATGTAAATAGCGTCATCTTTTAAGTAAATTAGGACACCATAATGGGCATGAAGCAAACTGGTTTGAGTAACAAAACATGACCCCATAAAACTGATTTTCAAATTCTCATAGACCACATTACTTACACTGGGATGTAATTCACTCATTATACTTTACAATTATTGAATTTATCTATATACATAGTTGTTTCTGGCTCTCTAACTAAAACAGAAATTTCATTTTGTGTCTGCCTTGTGCACTGTTTTATGTCTGATAGCTGGCACAGCACCTGGCATAGGGTAGGTTCTCAACATACTATACCTCATCAACTCCAAGGTGCATATGTTTTCACATTACCACTCTCAGAAATCAGAATGCATCTTGCACTGATGGTATGTTGTTACCCTATCATAGTGTAAGTGGTCCTGGTGTTCTTTCTCAGTAGTAAAGAAGATAATAGTGCGTGCTATGATCCGTGGCATCTTAAGACTTCATGAAAATAAGATATATTATTTAAATGGAAAATGATGACGTTATGTAACACAACAGTGAGGATAAATGAAAAGACAAAAGTAAATCAAAGCTTAAAAAAAAAAAGTAAATCAAAGCTTAAAATGAGCTACCCCTGTTAGTTTAAGGTTGCCAGATAAAATACAGGTTACCTCTGTTAAATTAGAATTTCAGATAAGCAAAGAATAAATTTTACTGTAAGTATGTTCCATATATTAATGGGATATACTTATACTAAAAAGTAATTCATTCTTTGAGATTCTGATTTAATTGGGTGCCCTATATTTTTTTAAATTTATTCTTTTAAAATTTACAAGTTGGCATATAGTGCAACAATGATTTCAGTAGTAGATTCCTTAACGCCCCTTATCCATTTAGCCCATCCCCCCTCCCACAACCCCTCCAGTAACCCTGTTTGTTTCTCCATATTTAAGAGTGTCTTATGTTTTGTCCCCCTCCCTGTTTTTATATTATTTTTGCTTCTCTTCCCTTATATTCATCTGTTTTGTATCTTAAATTCCTCATACAAGTGAAGTCATATGATATTTGTCTCTCTCTAATTTTGCTTAGCATAATACCCTCTAGTTCCATCCATGTAGTTGCAAATGGCAAGATTTCGTTCTTTTTCACTGCCATGTAATACTCCATTACACACATATACCACATCTTCTTTATCCATTCATCCATCTATGAACATGTGAGTGCCCTGTATTTTTAATCACTAACTCTGCCAACCCTGTGCTGGTTAGAAATACAAAAGTAGTTCCTCTTTTACAAAGGCATTACATAAAGTATTGTGTCATAAGTGCTCACCTGATACAGAGAAGAGGCACATGACCATCAATTTATATTGTACATTATGAAATAAAGTGTTGTATGTAGAGATAAAAGGATTCTACAATTGTTTCAGTATTACTTTAGCAATTTAATAATCTTCATCAAAGTCCAGATAATCCCTGAAATTTGCAATCTGATCTATTTTCTCACCTCAGCATAAGCTTTGGCCCACGTACTGGCCAGCTGATGTAAATCAACTTCACCTGATTTCACAGCTTCCAGGGATGCTTCAGCATCTCTATCATAATCTCTGAGGGATTCTTCTTCTATAAACTGGCTCAGAGCTTCTTTTAAGTCTGCAACATGGACAAAAAATACCAACATAAGCAAAATCCAGACATGAACAGGGAACATTTTACTTGGTTAGGTGTTCCAACATGAAATTTTCTTTTATCAAGCTTGCATCTGAAACCAAGCAGGTAAAAGCATATAAAGGAAAATCTACAGATTTTGAGGGTCTGAAGGCTACTGTATTTAAATGAAAAACATTTATATCCTATATAGTTATATTATTTGAAAGAGAAATTGAATGATTAGCATATTAAAACTAATTTAATTGGGATGATCTGTAATTTCAATTTTAGAGACACTACTTAGAGATAATATAATGGAAACGGAACAGGGATAGAAATCAGGATACCTGTGTTCTGGTCTTGACTCTGTCATTACGTTTGTAACTGTAGACCAGTGTTTCTCAATTTTTAGCACGCATCAGAATTCCCTGGAGGGCTTACTGAAATAGACTGCTGCATGCCACCCCCAGAGTGTCTGATTCTACAAGAATGGGGTGAGGCCCAAGAATGTGCATTTGTAACAAGGTTCCAGGTGATGCTGTAGATTCTGATCAGGTAACAGCTTTTGAGAACTACTGCCTTAGGCAAACAATTTAACATTTCAATGCACCAGATTCCTTATTTGTACAATGAGCCTGTGCTAGATAGTTCCTAGGTTTCCTTTTAAGTCTAACTTTTCATGATTCAACATATTCTCAATTTAAAATTTTTTCCTCATCTGTGAGATAGAACACAGACCTTTTAAAATGGTTTAATACTGATGGCTATGGGATTAATTTAGGTAAGTACAAATTATTCAAAGATTAGTATATCTTCTCTCCCAAGACATCTCAGGAACTGAGGACCAGATCATTAAAAGGGCAATGCATTTGGGAATACAGTTCTATATTATAATCAGGGATAGCTGAAATGAATCCACCCAACTAAATTAAGATGTGAAGCATTCTAACCCAGACTTTGTAACTGTGTTTTCATTATATTATTTTTTTTTAATTAAGAAAAAATGTTTAATGTTTTATTTTTGACAGAAATAGAGAGGGACAGAGAGAGCAAGCAAGGAGAGGTGCAGAGAGAGAGGGAGACACAGAATCTGAAGCAGGCTCAGGCTCCACACTGTCAGCACAGAGCCCGATGCGGGGCTTTATTAACTCATGAACCCTGAGATCATGACCTAAGCCGAAGTCGGATGCTTAAGAGACTGAGCTACACAGGTGCCCCTTAATTTTTTTAAATATTTATTTATTTTAGAGAGAGAGAGACATGGCATGAGCAGGGGAGGGGCAGAGACAGAAGGAGACACAGAATCTGAAGCAGGCTCCAGGCTCTGAGCTGTTAGCACAGAGCCCGATGAGGGGCCAGAACTCACCAATCGCAAGATCATGACCTGAGATCATGACCTGAGACAAAGCTGGACACTCAACAGACTGAACCATCCAGACACCCCTGTAAATTAATTTTTATACTAAACTGCCTTTTAAACAACTCAAGGGGTACAGAAAAAAACAATAAAACAAAGATCTGGGGAATATTCTTATTCTTGGAAGCAGTTAAACACTTCATATTTTATTGCGGTTTCAAGCTTCTCAGGCTTATTCTTTCTAATATGAAATGTCAAAGGAAAGAGATAATAGGAAAATAAAGTTTTATTACAAAAATCAGTCCTCACCTTTTTCTATAAAGCATGGTAAACTGTGCAGCAGCATCAGACGTCCATGTAAATGACTCGCGTTCTCTTGAACAGGAAATTTGAGAGGTACCCTCAGTTCTAAGCATTGAGTTCCTACTTTGAATTTATACGCAAATTCCCTCTCTCTGTTGTAGACTCTTTCTCTGGTTTTCTTCATCTTCTTTCGCAGGGTTTCTATAGAACAAACAAACCAAAATCCATCAGATTGTAAATCACAAAAATCATGTTTCATTATATCATACTACCTCTAAGAAAATATTCCACCACTCACTAATTATGTTTGTGTTACTTGGAGCTTATTATTCTAGGTTTTCCTACCTTTATTCCTGCATTTTCATCTTCATGAAGAAAATGATGTGTTTCTTTTTTTTTTTTTTTTTAAGGAAAAAAAGCTCCTTTTAAACTTCACTTAGGGGGATAAAACCATTATGCCAATAAAGTATTTTTCATTCTGAGGCAGGGTTCTCAAGAATAAGGGAAGAACATGGAGAGAAGAGCAGAGAAGATGCTTAGAAAGAGATGAATGGGTAGACAGAGAGCTTATGAAACAAGGGGAATACCAAGTCAAAGAAATAGATCAGGGACTAAGAAGTGATCTTGAAGATCTTAGATATGTGATCTTATTGGACATAGAAGAAAGATGGTGTTGCAAAGATTTCCATGTAGAAAAGACATACAAAAAAAAAAAAAAAAAAAAAAAAAAAAAAAAAAAAGGTACAGGATATCCCAAAAGGCAAACTGGACACTTTTCAAAAAGAAGAAAATCTGGCCAAAAAAAGTAAGAATCAATACCAATTAAAGATTTATTTATCAGCCTCCTTACTAGGCTCCCTATCTCTAGGCTATTCACCATCAGAACAATTTTCACACTATCTCTATGCTAAAGTTACAGTAATTTTTCCAAAGCGCCTATCTGATTGTGTTGCTCATCTGCTTAACACCCTTTGATCATATTCTATTGCTCTCAGGATAAAATTCAAACTCTTTGGGGCGCCTGGGTAGCTCACTCGGGGGAGCAGCTCTTAGTTTTCGCTCAGACCATGATCTCCCTGTTCCCAGGATCAAGCCCTACCACCCAAGGGTTCTCTGCAGATAGCGAGGACCCTGCTTGGGATTCTTTCTCCCCCCTCTCTCTACTCCTACTCCACTCGCATGGTCGCTCTCAGAATAAATAATTACATTAAAAAATGCAAACTCCTTAATCCAGTTTACCATGTCTCTGCTTATATCTCCAGACTTTTTCTCCCAGCACCTGTACCCCTCCTCACCAACACACAAATTCACAATTTTCCAGTCATACTGAACTCCTTTCAATACTAAACCTCTCCTTCCACTTCCAACCTTTTTGAAGTGGAAAAAGTGACACCAGAGCACTCTTACCGCTTTTCTTTCCTTGGATAACAACTAATCATTCTTCAGATCTCATCTTGGGCACTGAGGAGGCTTTTAATTCGTAGATTATAAGGATTAATCTAACAATAAATACGAAGCATCTGATAAACATAGGATGATCAGCAGATGAAAACTAGTAATAATAAAAGAAATTCTTCACGAGCATGTTAATAAAAACAAAAACAAACACAGGTTGCTAACTGAATACACACGATGAAGACAAAGAGTAAAGGAACACTGTAGCAGGGAACTGAAAGTTACAGAAATAGGTTTACGGCCTAATCTTATTTAAATTCAATATTTTCGGTAAACAAAAACCATTAGCTCTGGTATCAATCGGCTCAACATTTAAACTCATTATGTTTCAACAAACCGATAATTTAGTTCTCTTTCCTCACTTAAAAAATTTTTTTTAAATCAGGGGTGAAACTAAGGAAGGCTTCCGAGGCAAAACTGAAATGGGAAAATGTGGGCTGGACCGAACTCCTGCCGCCAGAGTGGAGGTTCTGAGGCTCAAATTAGGGAAAGGAAGGGGCTGTGGGCACCAGAAGCTCCAGACGAGTAAGGAAAACACCCTCTTCATTAGCCGCTTTCAGTCTGAACACTTTCCGTCCCTCCCTCTTTGTGTGGGCTCACCTACCCTAGTGCCTAACTCCCGAGCAGTCCACACACCGGAGATATCAACGAGCTGGGGCGCCGGCAACATCAGCTGACTTACAGACCTGTTTTTACAGCCAGCAGATCTGCATGAGCAGATTCGTCCATACCTTTTCCTCTTCCTCGACACTCTATAAGAAAATTCCAGGTCTAAGTGCCCCATTTTCCCATATCGCTTCAATTTAACCATTTAAAAATGTAAAAAAGCGTATTTCTACTATTATTGTGAATTTCAGAGAAGGCTCAAAAAAAAAAAAAAAAAAAAAAAAAAAAAAAAAAAAAAAAAAAATCCACTGTCGTGACGAAAGTGCATTGGCAAAGCTTGTGCTCCGCTTTGGTAGACCGGATGCGGAAGGGCAATATCTTGGGAACTGCGAGAGCCAGCAGTTCTTCTCAGTGCGCATGCGCCGCAGCAAGGATGGCTGGTAATCATTGGAGGGCTGGTGGCAGGGGGCGGAGAGCTCTAGTGTCTGGTTTTGGGCGGGAATTGAAACAGCCACTGCTGCCAACAAGAATTTGAAAGCTGCAAACTTTCAGCCTTGGAGGGGGCCATGGTGCGGCCTGTGAGGTGGGTAGTTCATGACAACTGCGGGGATGGGAAGAAGCAGGAAGACGCCGTAGGCAACTTGGCCTGCACACGATTGACGGGAAAGGGCCGAATAGGACGGTGGGTAGCGAAGGTGGGATGGACGGTTTCTGTGGAGCTCTCCAGCCTCCACTGAGAGCCGCCCATTCCACAGCAGTATCCTAGCATCCTACCTTTATCCTTCTATGCCTTCCTTTGCAGCAATTGCCGATTCTTTTACTGCCCCCCACCCAGCCATTTAAATAAGCCTTTGGTCTGTTAGCATTCGAACAGCGCTTTACATTTCAACCATCTCCTACTCACGTGTTACTTATTTATTTTATCACTATAGTTCTTTGATATAGCAGTCTAGATATTCCTGTTTTATCGATTTAAACTCCCAGGCATAAAGGCCAAGTTAACGGAGTCACACAGCTAGTGAGTGGCAGGATAACGCTCAAACCTAAATCGTACTGGTTCCAGAGCCTCTGTGTTTTCCATTATGCTATTTGAAACTATTGCTCTACTTAACCACAGTGGAGTGCTATGGAGGCCTACAGTCAGCCATTTATTTAGAAAGTTATTGTAATAAGGATTAATATATCCCACTAGGTGTGGGAGGTTACAGGGGTGAGGGTAGGGGGCCACAAATACCGCAAAGTGATACTGAGAAGGAGGAAAGTCTTTCTGTAAGTACTGTAGTTAGGATGTGCCTCTTTGCGGAGATAATACATGATCTGAGACATGAGTGATGAGAAAGAGCTAGCCAGCGAAAATCAGGGGAAATCCATGTAGAGGGGACAAAAGCCAAGGCCCTGAGCTTGACTTTGTTTGAGGAAGAGAAAGAAGGCCTCTAAAGCTGTAGCATTAACAAGCAGTGGGGAGAATTGTAGGGGATTAAGGCAGAGAAATAGGCAGAGGCCAGAGTAGGTAGGACCTTGCAGGCTTTAAAAAGGAGTTTGGATTGTATTCTACGAACAATGGGAAGTCAACAGAGAGTTTTAGATAGGGCAGGAAAATCTAATTTGGTTTTATAAAGTTCACTGGCTGCTGGTGGAGAAAGAATGGGAGATAAGGTGACCAGAATGCAACAAGGAAACCACTGCATCATTAGATAGCGGTTTGGAGTAGGATGTTATCATTGGACATGGAATGGGATAGATGGATTTGGGGTATATGTTGGAGATACTGCTGACAGAACTTGCTGATGGAATAGATGTGGAGGTTAAGGGGAAAAAAGGATGATTTCACAGTGTTTTTGGCCTGAGCTACTGAATGGTCGGTCTTTGTACTAACCAAGATGAGGAAGACTAGGAAAGGGAACAGGTTCAGGAGGTGTGGGGGATCAGGAGTTCCATTTTGAACATATGAAGTCTGAAATGGATTTTCAGTATGTCCACCCAAGTAACGAGGACATAATCCCTTTGTCTGGAACAGCAGTTGTCAAAGTATGGTCTGAAGACCCCCAGGGTTCCCTGAGGCCTTCTGAGGAGGCCCATGAGGTCAAAACTATTTTCACAATAATCCTAAGACATTGCTCACTTTTTTCATTGTTCTATCATCTGCACTGCAATGGTGGTGTAACTGCTGACACCTTAGCATGAATCAAGGCAGTGGCACCATATTGCACAAGTGTCATTGTATTCTTTCCTGCTGCACATTCAGGGTACAAAAAAAAAAAAATACCAGTTTCACTTAAGAATGTGCTTGATGAAGCAGTAAAAATTGTCATCCTCACTGTAGCTCAATTACTGAGCATATTCTTTTTTTAAGAGTTTTTATTTTTACTATGACTCAGTTTCAGAATTTCTAAAGAGGCTTTCATATTTTATTCAGCATTTAAAATTCGTTAACTCCAAAGAGTAGGAGAATAACAAGAGTATTCTTCATTTTAATATTCTACATGAGGAAATGAAATACATACATAAAGTACTTCTATGGTGGTTGTCTTCAGGCAAAGCACTTGTGAGATTGTTTGAGTTGGGAGCTGACCTGACCTCTTTTTCGTAGAATACCCATTTTCCTTGAAAGAACAACTGACCTACTAGGTTATTCACACTTGGGTGTTTGGTGGAAGGTAGAAAAGAAAACTACAAGGCCATTTCATTTAGTGCTTAGAGGAAGAAGGAAGAAAGTGAATTTATTTTTTTTTCACTTTGAATATCACTTTCTTCTAATGGTTTTCTAAAGTAGTATGAAGATACATTTGAGGTGGTAGGTACAAAGTCACCATTGTTTCAACGTCCGTTGCATAAAGAACATTATTTAGTATTGTGGGGAGATTAAAAAGAGAGAGAAAATATCTTTAAGTGTCAAGTTTATAATCTAGTAAGAAGACAATGCATATATAAAACAAAAGAATAAATACAACAGGAACTTATAAATGCCCCACAGCAATTAAACGGTATATAAATTGTGCTAATGATATTATTTTTACTTTGAGGGTTATCTGAATTATTTTTTTTCCTTATCAGGTATATCAAGTATAGTTATAACTATTTTAGCTAATGCTAAGTCCCTACTGTAAAATCCAACTTCTTTTTTAAAAAAATTTTTTTAATGTTTATTTTTGAGAAAGAGAGACAAAGAGCACGATCAGTTGGGGAGGGGCAGAGAATGAGGGAGACAAAGAATCAGAAGCAGGCTCCAGGTTCTGAGCTGTCAGCACAGACCCCGATGCGGGGCTTGAACTAATGAACCATGAGATCATGACCAGACCCAAAGTTGGTTGCTCAACTGACTGAGCCACCCAGGTGCCCTGTCAAGTTGAAGTACTCTTAAGAGAATCGAAACACATTTTCATTTACTCAGACTGTCAATGGTCTTAAGGATTAGAGGTGGGAAATTAGCATTTGTGTAATTAAAAAATTGTCTTGCTCATAGGCATAAGAAATCGGTCAATTACTCACAGTTTGAGGACTCTGACAGTGATGGTAAGTAGAGATTCATATTTTTGCTTTAAAAACTTGGAAATTTATTTTCTCAGAATTCATATGACATATAGAACTCTAATATTGAACATATTACCCAATTGTATATGAGCTAGGGCTGCAAAAGTAATTTTCTAAGCATTTGGGATAATTCTACTGATAATTACACTGACAAGAATTATGTAGGTAAGTGATAAATGAACAGGACCTAGTGAAATGGCTCTTTAGATCTAAACTACTCTAGGTCCATGTTTCTCATAGTGTGGTTTGTCTCCTCCTATCTCTTTCCCTAAGAAGGAACACATTGTCTTTTGAAACACAAATGTGTTACAGAATATAATGTGAAATCCTCATTAACTGTACAATAAAATGAGACCTTCTATACCACTTTTTTTTTTCTTTTTAATGTTTATTTATTTTTGAGTGAGAGAGAGAGAGAGAGTGTGAGCGGGGAGGGTCAGAGAGGGGGGAGACACAGAATCTGAAGCAGGCTGCAGGCTCTGAGCTGTCACCACAGAGCCTGACGCAGGGCTCGAGCTCATGAACTGTGAGATCATGACCTGAGCCGAAGTTGGACGTGCAACCAACTGTGCCACCCAGGCGCCCCAACCTTCTATACCACTTCTTTATCCAGTCATCCGTCGATAGACATTTGGTGCTTTCCATAGTTTGGCTATTGTAAATAATGTTGTTATAAAAATTGGGGTGCATGTGTCCCTTCCAATTAGTATTATTGTATCCTTTGGGTAAATACCTAGTAGTGCAATTGCTAGATCGTATATTACTCAGCCATAAAAAAGAGTGAAATCTTACCATTGGCAACAATGTGGATGGAGCTAGAGGATAAGTGAAATAAGTCAGTCAGAGAAAGACAAAGACCATATGATTTCACTCACAGGTGAAATTTAAGAAGCAAAATGAACATGGGGTGGGGGAAAAGAGGCAAACCAAGAAACTGAGTCTTAACTATAGAGAACTGATGATTATAGAAGGAAGTGGAGGGGGGGGTAAGTTAAATAAGTGGTGGGAATTAAGGAGGGTACCACTTGTGATGAGTACTGTGTGTTGTATGTAAGTGTAGAGTCACTAAATTGTACACCTGAAACTAATAAATTAATATTACACTGTGTGTTAACAGGAATTTAAATAAAAACTTGGAAAGGAAAAAAGAAACAAAAACAAGACCTTGAAGAAAGGTTGGGCATAGGCTATAGTCTATTGGGTTATATATTTCTTTGTCTCTGCTGTTAAGGAAACTTTGGTCAAAAAGTGTGAGAAACATTTAGTTAGATTACATCATATTTCGAAATAGGTTTTGTATTTCTCAGAGCTTTCTGTGAGTCAAATGTTCAGTTATCCAGAGGTTTGAAGGAACCTGTTTTTTGCATTGGGCTCAACTGTAAATGTGTCTAAGACTTGGGAGAAAATAGTGTAGACTCTGACCTGTAGCTTTTTATTACTGTTATCAGTATGTCACCAAATATTTATAAATTGACAGTAGTGTTCTAGACATTATGGGGTGGACGTGGGGGTAAGTCACAAGTTAACATATTCCAACATGGGGAAACTTGGCAGAGACAACATGTGTTAATAAATGCTAACGCTGCAATCAAGACTACGTGTACCCTGAGGGTATTCATCCATGTGCTGCACATGTGTGTAAAAACTATCGCAGCAAGGGGGCGCCTGGGTGGCTCTGTCGGTTGAGTATCTGACTTCGGCTCAGGTCATGATCTCACAGCTCGTGAGTTCAAGCCCTGCGTCAGGCCGTGTGCTGACAGCTCAGAGCCCGGAGCCTGCTTCTGATTCTGTGTCTCCCTCTCTCTCTGCCCCTCCCCCAGTCATGCTGTCTC